CATTTTTTACATTATCCCAGAGCGTGGTGTGGGATTCGGCTACCCGAGAACCCATCGAACCCCTGCAAACCCCGTGAATCGGTTTATTACAAAATTTTAATTTGTACAGGTGGCTCTGATTAGAGCAGTTTGCATGCAGACACAATTGATAGGATTTGAATATGCAACCTCCAAGTCTTGAGGTGAAAATCCTCTAACGTCACCAACTGCAGCAACCTATTGTCAATGCCCAAATTTTTTTGTTTCTATTTTTAACGATTTAGCATTCTATGCGTATCTCAACGGACTTTATTTGAAAAGTAGTAACTTTTTTTTTTTGGTCGGGAGAAAAGTAGTAACTTGAAAAGGTAGAATGTAGATGGATTAGCCTATCATGTCGCAAATTTATTTCTCAAGTTGATTTTAAATGATTTCTATATTGTGCGCGTGCATATATAACGAGTTTGGATGGTTTTTTATGTCTTGAAAAATATGGGGAGATCCTAAGTGCCATTAACTTAGAACTCCATTTTTGCTGCTTTCATGTACTCGTTCGAAACTTTGGCGCTCAATCGATGTGAAACATATGCATGACATTTTTATGAACTTAAGAATAATTTTACGAACATAATTTATACTTTTCAAAAGTTTAAGTTACATGAGAGCACCATCAGATAGCAAGACTATTATATGTCACTTAACCAATTGATAAATCACGATTAAAAACCCATGTTCCTCTCTCTCAATGATATGGCATCACATTAGTTCCGCGCACCAATTTCATGCGACTTGCCAGCAAAATTGACGGAATGCGATCGAAGGACTCGATTGTACAAATTGAGAAATTCAGATGCTTGATTACATAAATATTTCGATGAGCTAATTACGTATTTAGCAAGAGTTATGGGATTCGAGATGTACGTAGCATGCAAAAAAAAAAGTCAAGAGTTGTATTTAGCTACTAGTTTCTATAGAAGGGCTATGGCTTCCTTTAATTTGTCTTGATTAGTGAATTACATGTTCAAGTGCAACTCATGGCCACCTCTAATCTCACAATTTAGTAATTGATAGAGAGACAGGAACGAAGGCTTTTAATCGTGATTTATTTGTGTGCACCAAAGTCAAATAAAAATTGAAAAAAAAAACTAAATAATCAGGTATGGGTGGATTGAAATTTCCACCAATCAAAAGCAGTAGAAGGGTTGCCTTTATACATGGAACTTTAGGTATGCCTAATTTTTGGAAAAACACTTTATATGCCAGAAATATCATGCGGCTGTCACGTGGTGTAACCTATCAATAAAAAATAAGAGCAAATAAGTGTTCGGTGTAATGAAATTTCATAAGATCCGGGCGATGATGATTGCTGGATCACATCACGTCGTCACCGTCGCATTGCATATCCATCGTGTAGAATACTTTCTCCTAGAATTTGGATATCTTCTCGTTTGCCTCGGCTTCTTCTCGTCCCGCCAAATGGCAAATATGATGGTTAAGAGTTCAGTGTTCCTCGTCCTCGCTCATGGTCACCGCATATGAGTTCTTAGCGAGCATCGCATCGCATCGCATCGAAAAAACATGACTCGGGAAACATTTCTATTGTGACAATCTCTAATGCTCTATTTGGGGAAAGGAGAGAAAATGTGGAGAACGAAAAATTCGAGCAGCAAATGTTTAAAAATTTTCCGGAATTTTTTGTGAGAGGAGGGAGGTGGGGAAAATTGATGTAAGTTGAGGGATTTGTTAAACATAGATTTTTAATGGATTGAATTCCAAGAAGGGTAATCTACGTTTCTTTCTTGGTCCTAAGCCTAGAATTAGTTGGCATGATAAGGAACTCACATGGATGTGGCCTTCAGCTACATCAGGCTGTAGTTTGATATGGTCAGATCTTCATGCTTAAACCGGAGAATTATGGTCGAATGCTGCGACTCTTTGCTGGTTCTCCGACCAAAATTGCAACTTTTTCGGGCTCTGCTGCTACTCTGCCTCTGGTTGTTCTTGGACATTGAGTTGTATTGAGACCTGTGGTGGATGTGGTCTCCCCCTTCGATTTGTTTCGATGAAAAAATCCAAGCTGACTTCGGAAAAAGAAGAGAGAACAACAGATCGAGGGCGTCTTCTTTCGCGATCTTCTTCACCTCGATGTCCCAAACTTAGCATAAATAATAGGGTATAAACTTGGCGGGTGAATCAAAGTCGAGGGTTGCCTCGTCGAGCTAAGCTGTAGAACCGTCAAATGTGTGGGTCGGATCGGAAGTGGTGGCGTCCAAATTCATGCGTTTCCATGCAATACAAATCTAATAACTTATACGCGACTCGACCCATATTACTAAATTACTTTCATATATAACCAAATCTAAGAAAATTCATACTCAAATTGAGGTGAGAGCGCTGAGCGAGTGATGGCGAGATCGGGTGAGGGCGAGAGAGAGTAAAGAGAGAGTTATAAAGATGAGTTAGGTCTAAAAAAGTTGTGAACCCATTTAACACTCGTATTATTTTGAGTATTACCGTTCTAAACCCATTTATGACTCATTTACCGAATATATAACAACTCGGCCCATCAAATATGGTTTCTATTAAATCCCCACAGCTATGTGTTCTAGATGAGTCGCCTCTTATTACCCAAAATTACTCTATGACAAATCTATCCGGTTTGAACGAACTTTAATGGTTGTTCCGCATGTCAAAATTCTATACATTCGCATCTTTTATATGAGCGGACATGATTATTACCACACGTAACATGTAAAGAGTATTATAAATATTTACTTAATTATTAAAAAGAAATATTCGATAATTGTAAAATGAAAAGGAATTAGTTATCACTTAAACATTTTAATTAAAAATCATAAGCAATAAAATATCTTCCCAATTGGATAAAATCCAAAAGAATAAGCAATAAAATATCTTCCCAATTGGATAAAATCCAAAAGAATATATATATTTTCTTCATTCCTCACTAAAGAGTCTTTTTTTTTTTGTTCACATGCAATAGACATAAATTAATAACTAATAATACGATCATGTAACATGTCTTCATGTTCCGAGCGTATGTGCTACCCTGGAGAATAAAAATAATATACGGAATCCTATATTTTATATTATCGAGATAAATTCAAAATCTTGGTAATATCCAACAATCGATCATAAATAGATTTTATTTGTGTAGACGTCATAAAATATAAACTTACGTACTCTTCGAAATAATTTTGGCTATCAACTAAACTACGATGAATCGATTTTCAAAGCCGTGCATCGCACGGGACTTCAACTAGTACAATCTAAGTGACAAACTTTATATAAAATCTACTTTGGATACAGAAAAAAAAAAGAATCAAAAAAGAAAAAGAAAAGAAAAGAAGTTTTTTTTGCTAAAAAGAAAAAGAAAAGAAGTTGTCAAAGAAGAAAGGGAGACAAGCAAAAGCTTCATCAAAAAGAACTTTTGCATTATCAGGAATCATTCTTCTGGAGAAAAAAGAAAATATATTGCAATAAATCTGTTTTCTTTTTCTAAAAGGGCACTAGAGTCAAGCCAAAGTGTGCCTAAAACCTGCTTTTTTTTTGTCATTTATATTTATATTTTTCTCACCCTCCATACTACTTTTCTGCAAATGTATTCTTTATTTTTCTTATTTTCCTTTTCTCTTGCTTTTTATGGTCCACACTCCACATGAAGCAGTCTTAAGTTGCAAAGTTTGACTTAATCCCACAACCTTAGCCCATTAAATTATCCTTCTTTAGTCAGTCTTTATTGACATGTTTCAAACTTCCACCAAAATTTGACCTTGGCTTGAGAACAAAAGCATGGATTCAACCAAATCTTCTAAAAAGACTGCCTCATGGGTACAATCTACTTCAGCTTCATTCAACTAAACGAAACCCTAAAATCTAACTAGTCTCTCTGTAAGTTCCGCCATTTTCTTGGATTGATGATGGTTAAAATCCCCGATATATATTGCAATGATAGAGAAACTTTTATGGTACGCTTATTGCTCCGTACAACTATACTGTACCGCTTTAACTAAATACAAAAGTATCGTAATACGTCATAAAATCGTCGTATAACAAGGTAGTATGGTACAACGCTTTGCATATGAAATACTCTCTTTTTTTTTTTTTTATGAGATGTCATGATGACGACTTTGAGTAGACGTAAATGGTCTCTCGAAGGAGGGGATCGAATGATGAATTTTCCCTCGATGGAAATGCAAGTTCTGTCTCGACATCATCCCATGATAAAGTGCAGCTAAAAACAGATCCAAGAAGAGGGTCCAACTTTGACCGCCACCCTCCCAGGGAAGACCGGCGTGAACCTTGAAACCAGACGTGTTCTAGATGCTGCAAAAGATCAGATTGTTGCCGTTAACATTGGAATGTTTTCACACTAAAATATATCATAAACAGAACAAACAAGCGAATTAGGGTTACTGCACTCATGTGACTCCTCTGCAAACATCGCAAATCTAGCTGCCTCCTAAGAGGGGGTCAAAGATGAAACAGTGTCTACCTAACCTCCCCACCTCGTTGCAACCGAGGCACACAGTAAAAACCAGTAAATAAGACAAATGAGAATTCTGCTTCAGCTGGTAAAAAAAAGGAGAAATTTTGCCTCTGGATTGTGGCCCTAACGCCTTGGCCTTTGCCCCATCTTTATCTCTCCCGAAGATAAAATATTCCCTTCCTTTTTTCCATCTTTTCTATGACATGGGTATCGACATCCGATGCATTGTAATCGGATTAAGTTTCTCGAACCGTCTCGTTCACATGTATCGATTAGGACTCTTAAGTATTAGAAAAATAGATATGACTTTCGAGATTATTATAAATAAAGAGAAATTATTATTTAAATACGATATTAGAAAAGAGTACGTGATCCGTCGCATTCAAATTTATTTACGTAGACTAAAATTCCATTTTCCATTTTTTTAAGTAATTTTTGTGGGCCACAGTGTGGTGATGAACTGACCGACTTCTATAGGCACCGTGTTTCATCCCAATATAAATGAAGCAGCTCATAAGTTCTTGGACTAATCTCTCTCTCTCTCTCTCTCTCTCTCTCTCGCACATTAAGCTTCAGAAGGCAGAGCATGAATGACTACAGAGAAGGCAACTCGACATGCTGTTATTTCCATCCTCAAGAAGTATTTGTTGGGGTTTGTCCCTCGTGCTTGAATGAGAGGCTTCTAGTTTTAGCAGCAAACCAAGCACACAACAACAATCACCATCACCACCAGCACCACCATCATCCTCATCCTCATTCAACCAGAAGCAGCCATGGCCACAGAGCTCAGAGCCAGAGCAACAACCCCAACAAGAAGCCATCAGTTGTTGGTCTTCCCAAGATCTTTGCTCTTGGATCTTTCCTCAATCGCCTCGAATTCCGGCATTGGAAATCTGGTTCCATCTCCTATGAAGATGCTTCCCCTAGCCCAGAAGGTAAACTTTTCTCATTTCTTGTGGTTTTTTTCCCCACCTTTCGAGATCCCAAAGTTTAAATCTAAAAAAAAGTTTGCAGCTTTGCAAGTCGTGAATATGCGGGAGTTTTTTCTAGGACTGTCTTGTCTCTGCCATTGCCATGAGTTGCTGTGTTGTCTGGTGAAAGAAATTATTGCATGCATACAATGGATACAAGGAAATAAGGCCAAATAGCTCACATTGGAAGCAGTGAAACTTGGGGTTTAGTTTGATCTTCTGTCCTCTTATTTTTGTACAAGAGTGATTATTTTAGATTAAAATAGGATGTAAATCACTTTAGATCTGATGTGAAATTTAGTCTTACATACACATTCACTCTCTCAAAAAGAAGGTGGTAGAATTGCTTGGAGATTATAAAAGATAAATTTTAAAAAAAAGGTGACTCCATTAAAGTGAACAGAGTTAGATGGTATAAGATGGGATCATTCAGGTCGGTGCACTGAGAATTCGAGGGGGACATGTTTGCTGGGCCATGGCCAACATCCATTTGATGTCATTTCATCACCAATAATGTCTTGAACAGGGCTACTTCTGCTATAAGTTTCATTATAATATTTTTAATTGGATGGATTGTGTTCTAAGTTTCTAATGCTGAAACAGAAGAACTGTAAGCACACATATGCCAGCCTCTAGACTCTACTTGATTCATCATAAATTAAGATACTCATTTTTTTTTAATAATCACTAAGAGAGTTCGTGATTCATGCAGATTCTTTCATATCGATCAAATTTGAAGACAATGGTCTGGCCTCATGGGAAAAGAACACAGCTTCAAAGGTGTCCTTTGACAATTGCAAGGCTTCATGGACTCAGAGCATGAGCAAGAAGACCATCACCGCTACCACAGCCAGTAGGGAAAGTACCAATAACAAGAGTGTGATTGAGCATGCCAAGCCCCGCGCCTCGCTGAGGTGGCGGAAGCGGATTGGCCACTTGTTCCAGCTCATGAGATGGAAGAGGTCCAGCAAGGGGAGTGTCTGCCACGTGGGCACCAAGGTGGAGGGAGTGAAGGTGAGGAGTGGCTGGATGAGGAGTCTCACAAGGAGGAGGACTAAAGAGTAGAAAGGAAAGAGAAAGGGTTTCAAAAGAAAGAAAGAGTCCTCTTCTTTTTGGGTATTTTCTTTTGGGGCCTGCAAAGTGTGACTGCAAAGTTTGATACTATTGAGACCGACAGAGTCAAAGGATAGCTTGAGTAAGTGCTTTTCCTTTCTGAATTCTCCAGATTCTTGTATATTTATCGAAAAACCCTTTGCTTCTCATGGTTGTAAGTAGTACAGAAAATCAGACAAAAAAGAAAAGCTGTACGGGGTTTAAAATGGCACATGTAATTTCTGAGATGTCATGAAAGGAATCATTTCGATTTCCTTGGAAGATATGGGCCAAAAGTAACCACGATGGTCCATGTGTACAATGCCAACAAGTGCTTGTCTCATAGTTGTCTCGATGGAGCAATACCTCCTGTCCCCTTCGTTGCAGAGCGCTCGAATAATTCCATATTTGATTTTAAATTACTCATCAATGCAATAGACAGATGCCAAAGTCCATTCTTTTAGTCTTTTGAAAATTTGATTGATTGACGTGAAGAATAATCATTTCACTGAAAAATTTCTCCACACGTGCAAAGTCCACTTGGGTCCTCTTTGTTGGGTAGTGCAAGTGCCCTTCACAAGGGCAATCTGTATTCTGAGGGGTTAGAGCTTGCAATATGGGACCAGAAGCTGCTGCTTGAGGACCACGATCGTGGGTTCAAATGGAGTGGACGAAAATGACAAGACATGAATGTGCACCCAACTCCCAACCACTGTCCAAGAGGAAGACGGCGAAGCCTAATGTAGATTCGTGCGATTCGTGCGGTTCATGCGGTGTGACTCCCCTAACGAGACTTAGGCAATATCTCACCCCCCTCATTTGGCTAATTAGGGGGGGAACCCCCATCTGCAAAGGTGCCGTGGCCCAAAAAATTTCCGAGAGTGCTGGGAATCATTGAGTCCCGACGTGTTCGGGGAGATTGAGGTAAGCATCTGTTGACGATTCGAGCCCCATAAATTCTTATGTGTCGAGACCATTCCCCTATCACGAGATTATCAGCTCAAGGGGCGACTAAGGCAGCTTGACAAAGAATCCTTAGTTGCATAGGTCTTTCATGGGAGTTCTGTAGGAAATATGAATGGTTCTCTATACCAGAACGCGGTTCACTAAAGAACGAAACAATTTGTTTTAGGAAAACTTATGACAGATACTTTAATGAGGCTACAAAGGAACCTAAACATTGGTAGACGTATTTTAAAAGAAAATATATTATATCTTTAATCTAAGTAGGAAATGTCTAGCTCCTATAATTAGGTGGCGAATTGGTTATTTTAAAGATAGCTATAAATTAGCGTCGCATGGAAGTTATTGATGGACGCATAAAACATGTCTATGTAAGGAGCTAGTGGCTCCTGGCTTGGCTAGGTTGAAGGCAGATATGATTCTAAATTTAGGTCCACAACACTTCATCCCCCATAAACATTAAATTTCACTTGGTGTCTTTCAAATGCATATAAAACCAACATTATAATCATCAAGATATCTCTCTTCTAAGAAACTATCACAAATTCGATTCACATAGGGAAGGAATCTCTAAACGGCTCGTGCTGGATTAAGTAGCTGCAGAATACCTCATATAAGGAGACTTCCTGTCTGATGCAATAGATTTATTTGATTGTGAAGCATGCTAAATGCTCCACTTTGCATTCAGTATGAGTTCTCCACTAGCATAGGAAAGACGGCTGACTGTTTGCCAACTGAAACACATGACATGTTGGTGGGGTATTGAGTCACTTCCAGTGGTCATCTATGGTGAGGCCTATGACATTTAACAGTTTTTGCTCTTTCACCCTGAGGGAGACTTATTAGACAAAACCAGCTAAATCTAAGGCTGGAATGAAGGTTGCCACAGCACTCATAAGAAAAGGCAACTTGACAGTGACAAAGGGTTCTCTACACAAAGAGACCAAGTGAAAATGCTAAAGAATTCAATACTAGTAAATGTCACGAGGCCTCACATGGACGAGCACTAGAAGTGACTCAATACACCACCAACATGTCATGTGTTTCAGTTGGCAAACAGTCAGTCATCTTTCCTATGCTAGTTTTCTTTAGGGGATGCAATATATTTGTGAAGCATGCTAAAAGCTCCACTGTCGGCATCTTAATGGGGTTGTGGTTATGGGATCGCCAACTTGGACATTCAGATTACAAGTGGTGCGAAGTAGATATGGTTCAAGCGAAAACTTTCGTAACTGGTGTGAGATAGGTGACGCCTATAGGAGGCTACTAGTGTTAGTCGCTCCTTTATTCCATTTTATCATGAAAAAAGTATCAACCGTATATCTAGAAAAGCTTGGTTCTTGCTTGTAACTTTTTCAACTTTCGGTAACTTTTTTCATATTTAACACCTTAAACATTTTTTAACAAGTACAACGCTAACACTTAAAATGATTAAAAAAATTGACATTTTTCAAAGTGACAATGATTTTGACCTAGAGACATAAAATAGCGAAAGAGAAAATACAGCGCATAAGCCCTCACATTGGTCCTAATTTGAATGGCAAATAAACTGTATAGACTGTTGCCTCTTAGCACCCTATGTACCAAAAGAAACATATATTCTTCATCACTTTCCAATTCATTTGTAACAAGGCCAAGAACTCCCATTTTCTCAGTCTTGTGTTCTGTTTTGTCAGTACTGTTCTTCAAAAGGTTCTCTTTGCCCATGGAGAGAGAGAGAGAGAGAGAGAGAGAGAGAGAGAGAGACTGTATTTGGACTCGGGCCAAGGGACATGCATGTGCCTTTGCCAAGCAAGTCTTCGGTAGGGCAAAAGCTGGTCACCACCTATATCTTCTCCATCCAACCAGAGAGATCTAGAGATGGGATAAAGATAAAAGGGTCAGGACCAGAACATGAAAGCCTAGCAAGAGCTTAGCTTTAGCTCCATTTTCTTGTGAGGTAACTGGAAAAGGAGAAAAGAAAAAAGCTTCTTTAGGGAGTGCCTCAAGTCAAAACAGCTTTTGGAAAGGCCATATCGTTTGGTCACACCCATATCAAAGAGTTGATTTTCTTATCCACAGATCCAATTCCCAACATTTTACCCAACTTATATAAATATATATGGCCCTTGAAATGAAAGCTTTTTAGCTACCCCTAGTGGGCCTCTTGCTGCGCCATAGATTCTCATCTTATTTCTCTCCTCATAATAATTGGACTAGAACAGTCCACGCCATAAGATATTCTTTCTGATGCTAACAATAGAAAAATGTGGCTCACACTTTCTTATCTAGCCTTCTGATTAGTTCCTGATTTGAAATTTTGGAGTTACTTGCATTATCAACCCTAAATATTAGCCTCTTTTTCGGGTTAATTTGTCCGCTTATTGTTAATTGTTGGGTGAACCATGTTACCCACAACACATTGGCTGCCTTAGTGCTGTGTTGCAGTGTGTGTGTGTGTGTGAGAGAGCGAGAGAGAGGCACCATATATTTGCATGTGGCCATAACGGAGACAAAACAAATAAAAAAAGGGGGGCAACGTCGTCTCGTGACTCTTTCACTAAAGGGAATGTTTGATTAATGGATTTGATGATTTGTCGGCCTGGTCGTCCTTTGACTCGATGATACGGAGGTTTCAAGGCTTAGTTATGGCTAGGAAGAAAAAGGGGAGAGTAAAAAATGGATGTTGGTGGTCTCCACTCGCATGCAACGTTGGTTCAGCTAAATGACCACAATCAATCAAGATCCGTCATACGACTATATGATCGTATTGTTCATCTAGGAGCGAGAATAAGAATGCATAATCACTGCAATACTGTAGGATTGTTATTTTCACGGTTCCAACAATTTGATTGTTCAACACTGAGGAACGTCGATCCATAAAAGATAGAATTCCGATTCGTCAACGACCCAAACGGCAGTTTACATATCAACAGGACGCGCACTCATGTGTGTTACGCACAAAGTATGAGTAACTACTGCAAGCAGCTATCAAACACGCGAATTCAATGCTCGATACGAGTCTAGAGACCAACAGATCAAAAAGACCAAAAGTAACTGGAAATTGTTTCAAAAAAATTTCAGGGACATTTCCCACTGGTCCATATCTCTGATAAAGGGAAGCATTTAGTGATTTCACCAACAAATTCTTACATGATGACTGTATGCTACACGACCTTAACTTCATAAGGGTCAATTAAAATTTCATTCAAGTCACTAGCTCCCTTCCAGTTCCTAAGCAGTAATTGTAGCCTAAATTGTCAATGGAATCACATACCACTAATGATCTCCTAAGTTTCCAGAACCCTGCTAACTTGGAGGTTGTTCCATATGAAAAATATTGGCTCGTGCAAACGCAACATATAAAACTGCAGTTTCTAAACAACATCAAATACAAAGTTCTGTGTCTACTCGTATCTTTCTCAGTACGTCTGGTGATTAAATTCACCAAATCCACGTCAGAAACACGCTCGACATAACCACAAAACCAATATGCACTTGTTGAAACGTGTTGATTAGCAAATAAATTAACTAATCACCCAAGTTAGAGGACTGAAGAGAAGCGTGTATCACGTACTACACCCCTGCATGTTCTTTACATAATTTCCTAGAGGATATGATTGAACAGAACTTCAACTCGAGATCCAGTTTTCCCCACAGAAGCACGGTGATATCCATTTCCATAAGTAGCATCTATAATATTGATTAGGAAAAAGACAGATCAACCCTCAAAGTAGCAGCATCACTTCACAAATTCACGGGTAAAAATTAAACACAGCTTAATCATTCGAATACCTCAGTTCCCAGCATCCAGTATTCTTCGTATTCTATACACTTAATCCCTTATTACAAATGGGAAAAATACAAACATGACAGTAGCATTCTACCTTTAGACAGGGAAAAACTCTCAGGTCATTTACATTGACTTGATCCAACCCAATGGGCATCGTATTTATCATAAAAAAAGGGACATTGACGATCCCTCAGAGGACGATGGCTGTAAGGCACGGATTCTTACGTCATATTTACGATGACTAGGAACTTCACTGGACGAAAATGATTCTAGTCCATCTGATACAAGCGGATCAGACGAAGTAATTGAATCATATGCAATTCCAATATGGTTGCCACACTTGCGGCAAAGAAGTTTGGTTCTCCGCCTAAACAAACCCCATGATTGTTTCGAGAAGAAGGGCATGCACTGCCGCTCATTAACCAGCGTAAATCTACTCTCGTCAACATTACAGAACGATATGATCCCTTTCTTTATGGACTTACTGTACTTACTTCCAATTGTCGATATGTTCCGATTTAAGGAGCTGAGGTTTAGCTCGTATCCGCAAGAGCCACAGCTGCATAGAAAAAAGAGAATATTAAAAACAGCTTTTGTGGTTACCTTCCTATTCACACCGCATCAGAATGATCAAACATGTTCCATACGTATGCATGATTGTGTGCAAGGAGACATGCATGCAAGGGTGTGCACACGTGTGTAGTAAGTGTGGTGGTAGAATGATAAAATTGAGATGGAGACGAAAAGTGTAAAAATATCACATGTGATAATTTATCATGTGATTCTGATCTCCATTCTTAACAAGAGAGTGAACTTCATTTTGAAAAAGGAGGAGCTCCCCAATCTTTAGCTCATAGATTAAAGCCAAATTTTCAGGAACTTGATAAACAAAAACCGAGAGAGATTAAGAATAGTGCCATTATTTGCTCAGGATTAAAAAACAGTGTCTATCATGCAGAAAAGTTAAATCAAATTTCTCAGGAAAAGGCTAGCAAACACTTTCCTCATCCACTATGATTACAAAAATTCTAACCCTATTAAGAATCTCAATAGAAGAACTTCATCCCAAGTACTGTAAGAGACATAAACATCTAGTTTATACAAATACAGATGCTTGTACCCTCATGAAGCAGTAATAAACTCCTGACCATGTAACAATTTTTGCAAATAATTTGCTTCCTTTTGTAATATCTTAAGATGACCACTACTCGTTGCATTATCAGTTGTTCAAAGTTCAGCAACCCAGAATCCGCGATTGAAAAATAAGTTTAAATAAAGAAATTGATTTCAGACAGCACAATCACACAAAAAATTAGGGAGGCACATTCTTGGACCATTGCTAGTAAGTCATTCATGGCAAATCACAGATGAATAAAAGATTGCGATGCCCTTGTTGTAGAAATACAACTACATAACGCAAAGTCGACAATGGCCGAGAGTCAAGAAAACATCTTAAACATAGAGCTCTAATTCTTAAGGATTAGTTATGTAAAGATGGAAATTTTCATTTTACAATACAAGCACACGGTTGATCATGCATACGCTTGAAACTAGAGGCAGACCAAGGGCCTAGTGCACCTGCACCCCCAAAACCCTCTCCTTACCTCGGGGTAGAAATTTTTAGGCATAATGTAGTCCTATTCAGATATTCGGGCAAAACTTTAATTTCAGCGCCTCACACTCAAAACAATACTCCTGCCATTCGAAATCACATATTTACATCAAGAGTCGATTTCGGGCAAATCCAGGAATCGCTTCGTGGAATATTCATTAAAAGAGCAGTAAGCAATTCGAATTGAGAAATACTACAAAAGATGATCTCAAGATGTCGCAAAAGTAGCATCAACATTACAAGGGAATTCAGCTAACAAATAAGTTGGAAAGGTTCTGTGGGAACATGGCTTATCAGCTAAGCAGGCTCCCATTTCGCCAGTTCAATCTCAAAACTCAGCTGGGTGATAAGCAGAGCTCGAGAATTGGCTTATCCTCAGCGAACCGTTTCTCCAATCTCTGTGAGATGAAATAGTCAAGCATCTAGAGTCAACCGAACACGATCGATCAAGTTCACCACAACTTCAATCAATCGCACCATCTTAACACCACACCCTTCCACGAACGAACACAAAACCCCTTCTTCACACCCAGCTCATTCACCATTCCACGAACGAAAAGCAACCCCCTTCTTCACAACCCGAAGACAAAACGAAGGAAAAAAAAACGAAAACTTTGCAATCTTCCGAAAGCTCAAACGAGTCCCGGATTCCCCCGAAACCGACCCGTCATATCAGATAGCCTCATGCGGCAATTCAATCGCCGACCCATCAACCAACTCGAAAGCGAAACCGAAGGCGGACATGCGAAGCCAAGGAGGTAGGGAAGGAGCTGAATTGGTACCTGTAGCTGACGTCTTTGACGGAAGATGAGAGCGAGAAGGGACTCCGCGTCCCGCCGCCCCGAGTGCCGTCCTCGAGGAACATCGGATTCGCCATGTCCCCCGATCGCCGCTCGACAGTAAAAACTCGACCGATTACGAAAGGGTGCGTCTCCGACGGCGACGGCGAGAGCTACGGAGGAGGAGGAGGAGGAGAAGGAGAGGGAGTCGGAGAATCAGACGAAAGCGACGGTGAAATCAGCGGGGCAGGCGAATGTGCGCTGTCCAACGTTTGTGGGATTTGAGGACGGCACCGACCGCGAGGAGAGCATCCGAGGTGGCTCCGTCCGGAGGACGGACGGTTTTCTTTAGTGATCAAGCGCGTGGAACAAACCAGTCTTTTCATACGTTAGCAAAAAAAGTGTCAATGATTGATGTCAGGTTAATTCAAAAAAAAAATAGCAATTTTAGGTCGAGGGATAATTCTGACCCGAATTTTTTTTTACCTCGTAAAAAAGCATAAACTTTCATTTAAATCCCAAATTTGGCCCCCCATTGATTTTCTGTCTGAAGTTACCCTTATTTGAGAAAAAAAGTTATGGTGGTGAGCCTGGCGAATTTCTTCCATGGCGTCTGTCGACAAGTGGTGGCCTACAGTTTCAGATTATGACAAAACGACGAAGTTTGGCCAGAAAGATTCAATCTGGAGATATTTTTGACTTGGCGGTGAAGTGAAGGAGACGAACAGTTTCACCGTTATTCTTTTGTGGTTTAGAGAATAAGACAATGAATAATCTTTAAATCGGTCAGCAAGTCACGTGGATTTATTGTTAAGGTGGAATAGTTAAGTTGGAAAATCATGATAAGTCATAAGGATTGATTTAAGTGAAAGTTGATAAGTTCGGTAAATTGCCGTCAAGTTGGGTTTTTTAAGTTGAAATTGTGCCAAGTTGATGTTTTTTGAAGAAAAAAAAATTCGAGACTAAAGTTAGTGTTTTGTTTTTAAATTAACCCGATTGATGTCTCAACTCTGAGTCAACCTGATTCTTCGGGCATTTAATTTTTTCGTTTTTAAGTATTATAAATGAAATAAGACATTGATGGAAAATGCAAATGTCGGACGAACTGTGGAAAAACATTAAATAAGCGCGTGAGCGGGTCGGGGGCGGGCCCCATCCCCCGCCCCTCGGGGGGGCCCCCCCACGCTCCGCAAAGAGAAAGCGAGCGCGGTCGGCCCAATCGGGTGGAGCGGGGTGTACCGCTTTTGAAATCGTGGGTGCCACGCTCAGAAGAAATAGTGTAATAATGGCCCTGTAAAATTTTCTCCCTTTCACTAAACAAATTTGGATAATGAGTTTTTTTTTTTTTTTGGAATGATTTTGAGATGCTGCTAAAATCGTAATGTCTTGAAATTCATGTCACCGTATTTTAAACGGAACAAATCCTCGACGTTTCTTGACTCGGTTTCTCAATTTAAATTTGACGTGAGTCGATTTGAACTCCTAGAACTTCGAAATAGGATCGAGAAGTCTTGTGCCATCAATATATGTGCGCACTATAATTGCTTCGCATAAAACTTTTTTCCTCTAGGTTCAATGGTCCATTACACGTCGAAAATGGTTAACAATGCATGGTTGACAAACCATGATTTTGGTTGTACGAAGTATGATTGGTGTTGAACAACGAGGGATTGCCCCAGTGGCCACCCTTCCCACTCCACTTGGGAAGAGAGAGGTGGGGATTAAAACATAATTCCTCCTTCCCACTCCACTTGGGAAGAGAGAGGTGGGGACTAAAACATAATTATCCGGAGAGTCTATCTCACTATAATCCTCTTTGTTTCTCATAAGAGATGAGTAATTCTAGACTTAGATTACGTTTGGTTCAACTTTGAACGATGTAAAGTCATTTTTCCCCGTATGTTTTTAGCAAAGGTGTATTTGTCAAAAGCAAATAGTGTTTGTTTGGTTGATGCACAGTTTATGTAACGCAACTTTGAAGCCAGAAAGAGAAGAAAAAACGGGACTCCTTCTCTTGAGCACATTGCAGAAGCAATCAGCCAACCGACCAATCAAATCATAATCACACGGAATACAAATTGGAAAAGCAAGCGCCAAACAGGGAGGGAGGGAGGGAGAGAGAGAGAGGGGGACTCGTAAGCGACGTCGTTAGGGTGCCGGCACTCCACGTGGAGCTGCTCGGCCATCCACTTGCAGCGCTGGGGTTAGGGTAGGACAGGGGGTGATGGGTCTTCTGGTTGATGTAAGTAAGAGCGACTCCAAGTCATGCCCGTCTTGTTAGTCCATTTCTCCTCCGATTTGCTTGTTTCGAGAACCTCTTGCTCAGCCTCAACCCCTCTCCTTCTTCTCCTTCCGTTTCCGTCCCCTGTTGATCCCAGGTGAGGCGATGCCGAGATTGCGCGACTTCAGGCGAGCTAGATTTGGACTCCGGTGTCGTGCGAGCCAGGTGACAGGTCTGAACTCCGATGTCGTGCAAGCCAGGCGGCGAGTGGCGGAGACCCGCGACTCCAAGCAAAGTGACTCTGGTATTACGCGACCTCGGCCGACCCCTCGCGGGCGTCCGTCCAGCTCCTCCATCTCCGCGAACTCTAGATCTGCAAAATTGGAATTTGAAATTATTAGTGGATGTAATTTGGGAAGAAAAAAATCATTTATTTTGGACTTGCCTTTCAAAAATGTTGAAAGCCCTTTCAGATTTTCAATGCTGGCATTTTCCCAAAGTGGCCCAAATTTTTTTTTTTCCAAACACCTATAAATTTTGCTAAGGGATTTTAAAAGCCCGAAGTCCCTTGGAAAAGCTAAACAAAAGGATTGGCATTACTAATACTAACGATGATATGGCCATGACACGCCCTTTAGTGGACGTTGAGTCAGTAAATAAAGGGGAAAGAAATAATGAAAATCATAAGAAAGAATTTGACCCAAAAACAGAGAGAATCACAGGGAAAAAAATTTCTGCAGCCTCCTATCTCGAACGACTTTTGGACTAAGACTGACTTTTTCATGTTGTTTGTCCCCATCCTTTCATCTTATCTTCTTCTCTTAAAGCCAAACTTTTTCTATTTCTCTCTTCTTCAGCCCACGAAGAAACGAGGAAGGGAAAGCTATGTGCTGAAGGCGAGAGAATCCACGAAATGGAAATGTGGCTTGCGAGGACGAAGGGCTGGGCTTGCGACACAGAGTACGCAAGACCCTCAAAACGTGTCTTGGGAGAACGACACCGGCGATCGCGAGACACCATTTGCAAAAGAGCAATGGCGACGATAGGAGCCGGATCGCCGATGAGCTTGCACCGACGATGAGGAAGATTTGATGAGCTACCAGAAACGATGACGGGACTGGATCTATTTTAAATAAAAAGCAATAATACATCAATGGATCCAAGGAAGCATTCTGTAGAACTTAACTTGGTCGAAGACAAAGAAGACTTGAGGAAGATGGAAACCTCATATCTTAGGCTCTTTTTTTTATTACATGGAAAATGATAGATTTAGAAAATATTTTCCTAAAAATAATTCTTATATCGTTTGAAATATTTAGTCGGTGAAAAATATTTTAATTATAGACAATAGTTCAAGTCTAAATATTTTTGTGAATGATGAAAATATTTTTGTTTCACCCCTACTCAAAACGGTGTTGGGAGAACGACACCGGCGACCGCGAGACACCATTTGCAAAAGAGCAATGGCGACGATAGGAGCCGGATCGCCGATGAGCTTACACTGACGATGAAGATTTGATGAGCGACCAGAAACGATGACGGGACTGGATCGGACAAAAGCAATAATACATCAACGATCCAAAGGAAGCATTCTGTAGAACTTAACTTGGTCGAAGACAAAGAAGACTTGAGGAAGATGGAAACCTCATATCTTGGGCTCGGTTTATTACATGGAAAATGATAGATTTAGAAAATATTTTCCTAAAAATAATTACTTATATCGTTTGAAATATTTAGTCGATAAAAAATATTTTCATTATAGACAGTAGTTCATATCTAAATATTTTTGTGAACGATGAAAATATTTTTTGTTTATTCAATTTTGTAAACGATTTAAGCAATCATTATTTATGTACCTTTTTTCTTTCTCCCTCTATTTTTTTTGGTTGGTTTTTAATGACTTTTAGCCATGGCAAGCAACAATTCTCAGGCCCCTAACGTATTCTACGAAATGATTTTTTGATTCTGCACCTGAACCGATTCTGAGCATTTAAAGGCATTTGAGTAACGGCCCAAAATTTCTATTCCCGAAATAAGAAAGAACGTAAATGCGTTTGAGTAACAGCATAAAATTTCTTTTATTAATAATATTTTAATAACATTTTAAATATCTTAATATTTCTTTCTTTTTTTTTTCTTCTTCTCCTTCTTGGCCATGGCCGGTAAAATATTTTTTTAATTAATAATACTTTTATTAAAAATAATTTTTTATTTTTTTTCCATGGCCGTAAAAAATTTTCTTATAAATAATTTTTTATGAATAATTTTTTAAAAATATTTTACTAAAAATATTGAAAATATTTTTTTTTTTTTTCGCCATGGTCGGTCGTCGCCATGGCCTAAAATATTTTTTATAAATATTTTTTTATTAATAATATTTTAATAAAAAATATTTCTTTTATTTTTTTCGCCATGGCCTGGTCGCTGTCCATGGCCGGTAAAATATTTTTTTATTAATAATATTTTTTTATTTTTTTTCGCCATGACCTGGTCGTTGGCCATGGTCGATAAATTTTTTTTTATTAATAATATTTTTTTTATTTTTTTCGCCATGGCCTTGTCGTCGGCCATGGCCGTAGAATTTTTTTTATTAATAATATTTTTTATTAAAATATTTTAATCTTAGTGATACGGCGAGGGTGGCCATCGCGACATTAGAAGCTATATTAAAAAACAAGAAAAAGAAGAAAAAAAAACTGATTCTCATTTTTGTTCCCAGAATCAAGAAGTTATTTTTTTTTTATTCTTGATTCTGCTCCAAAACTGATTCTGGGCACAAATTTACAAGATTTGTGCATAGAATCAAAAAATTAAACAAACGAATTTCTACTGGACCCTAAATTGAAATTTTCCCCATTATTTATGCACCTTTCTTCTTTCTCCCTCTATTTTTTTTTGTTTGGTTTTTAATTTCTTTTACAATGACCTAGCTTTTCTAATTAATCTTCTCACGTAACATAATTATTCTTTCGTTGAAACAAGAAAAATGGCGTTCCCGTAAAGAAAAACTCTTTATTTTAT